TCCAATGACTGTGGTTGACATTTCATTATGTTCGAACTCCTTAACTTCTATTCCTCTTTAACCATCTTTTGATCAGGTAAATAGTGTTGGGTTTAACCATTGTTATCAATGTGAACAAAAAATCTGATCGTATCTGTGAGGGGTGTGATGACGCCCACGCAGTTACTGAGTTTCTCCTACTTGCACCACGTCGCATCAATAGCGAAACCGTTCACGGCGCCCCCTTGCATTTCGGTGTTGGTGTGGGGCGTCATTGTGCCATCCCCGTGGTCGTCCTAATCAACCGAATTATAACTCGCCCGCAAAGAGCAAATTTTCATTCACTCACTCCTTCACAGTATTGCTTCCATGTGAGTCAACCTACTGAGGACTTCTAAAAAACTTTTCCCCTGAGGATAGGCGTGTTTCAACGATTAATTTGAAGAGGTCTCAGATCATAGAATCCACAACATTCCACTGTTCTCCCACTTGGTTATTCCAAAAAACGCGGCAACAGCAGTGAAAAATCGCAGCTGCCGGCTGAGGACCACTTACGTCCACCTGGTAACCATCAAAACCCGTAATTCCAAATATTTTTTTCAATGGCTTTTTTTGGTATCTGCCTTTTGTTATACTTTTTCTGATCATAGGTCCTTTGCTATGCTTGTTAAATATTCATGTCTTTTCGTTCTCACAGTAACAATACAGCTCATTTACGAAGTTTTACTTCTTGGGTTGGATTTCAAATGGATTAAGCCAAGGGTTTATTGAAACGTTTCATAATGTTGCCTGCACGATAAATCATTGAAATATGCCAAGTATAAGCAACATAAAAGCCAACGTTTTTAGTTAAAACAAAGAGTCAAACCATGTTAATTACATGTTTGTGTCATTTAATATGATTTTTTACTTCCAAACCTTCTTCAAACATTTTTTAAACAATGGCTGATCCTTCGAATAACTTACCAAATTGAGCCAGCCTGATTATGAGATTCAATGTTTTAGAGCTGTTGAGTTAACTATAATTAATTTTGCACTTATGTTTCACATGAACTGTGCGTATTGTAAAACGTTGTACCAAAATGTTGCATATTTTAGCATGAACGATGACCCGTCAGCTCAATACTGGCTAATATGAATTTAAAAGGATCCATGATCAACAAGCCTCATTCTGTCATCATTGAAACACAATTTCTGCTTACAAACTGACCAAAAAAACAGATCAAATCTTCCAATGACTCCAAATTTTATGGGGAATTTAGATGGAATAAATGAGGCCATATTTTTAGCCATTAAATAATTCAATGAGACCTGTCATAATGTGCATTTAATAGAAGAGCCGTGCTTGAAATTGTAAATTATTTAAGAATTTTTGAGATCTGTGAGAACAGGCGGCCAGAAAAGTAGACATGTCAGCCATGTGTTGCTTTCCTTTTTAAGGCGACAATTCAAGCAACACCTTTATTTTAGCTTGCATAAAGTATATTTCAGAGGTTTTTCAATTTAGGTGCAGAAAGCAGTTCTTAATATTCTTGACTCTCATATTTATGAACTTTAATTCTACGTTTATAAATGTTTTGTTGAATTTGTGCTAAAGCCATTGTTCATTGACACTTCAACTTTAAAGCCCTTGGCTCCTACAATGTCAATTTAATCGTTCAAGGTACCTCACTATATACTTCAACTTTTGATTAATATTCTAAAAATATAATGAGTTGGTAAGTATGTGATTGATGGAGTAAGGAGGTTTAACCTATGATCTCATGCTGGAAAAAAACGCTACACATATTTCACCATTTGCATTGGGAAATCTTACTTTGAACTCAAGCGAAAAAGTTCAATGCTTCGAAAGGAGGTAAGGTAAACTAAATGTCAGTGAACAGAATTTATTTTTGATGTCACGGCTTGACGGCTGACAAAGAGCGATAGAACTACATTTCTAGGTATGATGATGAACGATTGGTGGGAATGCATTTAAAAGACTTTTTGATGTATAATTTGAGTTTTGTTGACCGAAGTCAAGGGTCTAACATTTTTTTACAAAGGGATGCAATCTATTTTCAGAATTAGGAAAAGAATGTTATTGCACTTAACCTCAGAGACTTTCTGTTTTTATGGAATCATCATTCTAAGATGCCCATTTTCAGGCCTTGGATAAATACGGGTCTCCAAAACACAGAATTCAGCCTGAACTAGTATAAGTTTAAGTTGGTAACGAATAAAATCTTCTCGCACCTATACGTAAATTACACGGCTTATGTGGAATATTTTGAAGTCTATGCAATCTATCCGAAAATGATACCAGTTTTGAAATCTCTATATCGAATGACCTAAGTAGACTTGCCAATTTCCATTACCTTATACTCGGAGAAAAAGCGGATATTGCAAAAACTGTTAATGGAAAGAACGTGATCGAAAACTGCCTCAAAAATTCTGTTCGACTTGGAATATCCACCTATCCAAATTTTGCGCAGAGCCAAGTTATGTTGTAAGCAATGCAAAAAGAAGAACATCAAATTTCGTTGATCTTTTTTCAAGGAAATATTTTAGAACTGGGACAGTCAATAAAAAGCATCAATACCATTACACCTGTGAATTTTTAAGAAGTATAAATGTACAAAGGAGAGGATATTATTTGCTACGAACCGGAAATCACATGGATATATTGTGGCGAAAGATTTACTGTAATATTTCGCCATGCTTTCAAAAATAAAAATCTAAAAGAAAGTGTTTATATTCGTATTTGTGCAATTATTTCAAACAATTAATTAAAATTAAAAAGGTAGGAAAATTTGGGCCAACAATTTTTTTTAATGCAGATCCAGTAAGTTCAGGTAACATCCTCTAAATTCAATTATTGCTGTATTTACTATTAATGTTAATTCACATTCAACAAAAAAGGACATAAAACTTGCAGTGAATTGGTTTGAATCCCTTTAACACTTTTTTTTCAATTCTTTTGCAAATTACATGATTTTTAACTTGAGAAGCTTATTTTTTAAGCAAATATATTTGCTTTTACTTAAATTATGGGAGGCACTGTTGAAGGTATATTGTGACACACTGTATTGCCTCGTTTATAAAGCTATTACACTTTATTCCTTTTAAAAACTTGTTTTAAGTGACCCGAAGAACTGGAGTTTAAATTAACTAATCTCTGTCTCACAGGATAATTTGACAAGTTAGCATAATTTTTCAAAAACAATCGGTTGTGCAAAAACTAAGTGTGAAAGCTAAACTTCAGGATATTTTGCTTACTATCCTCTCGCCTTCCAAAAATTCAGATTTTTTTGCAATTTTGGCGTCAAAAATACTGAAATTTAAAACATGACATCATGGTAATGTGCTTTAATTTCCACGTTACCTGTTCGTGAGTCAAAACATTATTTAGGTGTTTAATTACTAAATAATTTAGAGATAATAATTAATATATTTTGATCTCTATAAAAGGTTTTAAATAAATGTGAACTTATTTGATCTATTTTGTTTTGTACAACTCTTTTAACACTCCTATTATATGAAGCCACATGTAATTGTCGTTTTCTCATTTGATTGGCTCATCTGACTAATGTATGATTATGTGATTATGACCTATTTATTATATTCCTTACAGCTTATAACTTATTTAGAAGTGAGTATATTGCTACGATATGATGGCTTCTTAGAGAAGATAAAGTCGTGTTAAAATGTTATAGGCTCATTATAATTAATTCTTTGCGTTCGTTTTTGACGATTTTGCTGCACAAGGCTCTGATTTTATTAATACAATTTATGAAATTTTTCGTTGCCAATAATATTCTGTAAGAGGCGCTTATTATTAGTGCATTATGTTCACATTCCATTCCCTGCCAGTTTTTTTATAATCATCGTTTTTGGCTAATCAAGCTCACTAAAAGGCTTTTTCTACGTGTTTTATTTGCAAATTTTGATAAAGGGTTTACAACATAATTTGTCTGATAGCAAATTTATTGTTGCTAGTTCATTTTGATTTTTTGCACTCTTCTCAATACGTGGTGTCATGTTGTTCTACGCCATCGTTTCAAGCTGAAGGAAGCACAGCAGTCCACTTCAAGTCCTCACTTTACTAATGTAATTTTTTGACTGGGTTTCTAAATTCTCCGTACCCAACCTCCTTCCAATGGCTCCCTTATCTAAAATCTGGTGTCTTTGATACCAGATGTAAAATTTATTTGATTAATATTTCTACGTCTCAAAGCTTCGACATCTCACTTCTTACAGATCTTGGTAAATCAAAACGCGTAATAATCCAAAATAAACTTTTTTTTCACATTAGCATTTAATCCTACAGAGTCATTTGATATAATTTATCCTTAGATTTATTCAGCCTAGTATTTTGCTAAAAGAGCAAATGTGGCAAAAAATAAATGCGCATAAATGTCATCATTTTTTTGATTATGGGGTTATTTTAGGACGTAATTTGTAAACCGTCCCACAGTGTCCCAGCTACATGGACCCAAATTAAAGAAATTGTGTTGTCTGCATCTTGGTCTTTTTTGTAATTAAAATAGCCAACTGCCTCACTGTAGATTTCATCATCTGTCATATTTCGATGAATATATTTATAAACTTTTTTAATGTGCATATATGCGTTTTGTCTTATCAAGAATTAGGATGCTTAAAGCAATCTCTTAAGGCTTTGCAAGTTGAACACTCAATATTAAAGTTTAAATGTGTGTAAATGCATACTCTGCGTCTTTACATTTATATAAGGCGAATGTCAGAAAATACTCTAAAATCGCCCATATTCAATAGAAATTGCGATTAGCACTTTACTATAGACTTTACTATTAGATATTAAGTTACTCTTGCAATGAGAACCTTTAAATTTTAAATTACCCGGAAGCTTATTAGTAACACGTTCCCAATTCTACTCACGAGATTGCTATGCTTTCATTCGTATACACATTTTATAATTGTGAAATCTAGCGGGAAACACATTTATGTTTGCCTAATTTTCTATTTAGAGCCTGTTTGTTTATAACCCGCTCTTTCTTTTCAGATCGCTATCTGCAATAATGCAGAAGCACGATCACTCCTTTTCATTCCTGGTTGTCTGCTCTTTGGGTGTATTCTTCTCCTACTTCATTTACGGGATCCTCCAAGAAACAATGTAACTGGACATTATTTTATTTGACCTAAACTCGTCTAGAACGAAAACAAAATATGGCGAAAATAAAGACGAATTTACCTTTATCAAGCCAATGCTTTTTCTCCAATGTATGGTTAATGCCACATTTGCCTACATCGGTATGTTGGAGTTTGTTTTATCATAACCTCTATTTTCGGTAGTTCTTAAATTCAGACGCGAACCTAAACCCCACATATCTCAAAAGGACTATGCGCTCTGTGCAATGAGCTATATCGGAGCCATGTTCAGCAGCAATGCAAGCTTGAGGCATGTTAATTATCCGACACAAGTCGTTGGCAAGTCAATAAAACCCATTCCTGTGATGCTGTTGAGTGTCCTTTGGGCTCGGAAGCGCTATTCCCTAAAGAAGTATATCTTTGTCGGCATGATAACCGCTGGGGTTATTCTCTTCATGTACAAAGGAAACACTGCTCAGAAGGCAGATGCTCATGGACCTGGGTGGGGCGAAGTTCTTTTGGTGAGGCTTCCCTGCAACAATCTTTACTTTCACGATCAAAAGCAGTTTTTATTTTTAAATGTATTGTTTCTTCAGCTGCAGTAGTATGTGGGTCACTTCGGTATTAAACTTTACTCATGCTACAGGTTATTTTCAATGAAGTCAATGCACAATATGTATGGGACAATATATCATAGTGTCCCTGAAATTGCAGTACTTGGTCATTGCTTATCTAGGGATGTAAATCCTTTCTAAAGTTAATTGTTATACGCAAATAAGTGGAGTTTGTTTAGAAACTTATAGCATTTTTTATATGTTCCCTCACATTGGATTCACAAATACCCCAAATTCTTTGTTATGTTGCCAAGAAATTAACATTTTTTTCTTTGTGTGGACGCCTTTAAATCTAGCTTATTTCCCTTGGTCTGGATGGTCTTACTGGAGGAATGCAGGAGGACTTTCGTTCACGGAAGCGAGTTGGACCTTACAACTTGATGCTTAGTTTGAACGCTTGGTCTCTGGTTTACCTAGCCACAGGTGTGCTAATTGCTTATTTGATTGCTGTAAATCATTGGCTTCATACTCAAAAGCCCAAGTAATCAGTAGTCGCGAGCGTTTTTCTTGATCGGAACAATTGCATTCATGTAGTCCCTGACCATTTGATTCAAGTACATTTTTAGTCGCATTGGTAACTGCGTAGATTTAAAACTGAACGCATCTAATGGTCTTATTTGTTGCTTTGAGGTGGCACAGGACAGTAATACGTTATAAAATTTCGCCGTTGTTTAATTGACCTATTTCGTCAGTTCGCAGGGGTATCCTTAATATACATTGTACCTCCTAAAATCCAGGTTGTGATTAAACTTTATTAATTACCTCCTTGGGTTCATTGAACCTTTTTAATTTTATTTTAATATCATCGCCACAATCCACTAATTCACTTCTACTAACGTAGCGTTTGTATACTATATGGTTTATGTACAAAATAATTTTAAGTCGTTATTTACTGTTCACAGTTTGTGTCTTTCTTGTAAAATGAATGAAATAGTTCTGAGAATGAGCATGAGAAGTGTATAGTTATCTGTGGAAATCAACTTGTAGGATAAATATAGTAAATTCTATTTGGCTAAATTACGCATTACAAGCATAAAAAATTAAGTGGAGATGCCCCGAGTTTTTGTTATCCCAACCGTTCGCCTATTTTAACCTTTCAGCTATTTTCGCTACCGGTGAACTGGTCCCATTCATAACCTTTGTTGAGCACTATCCACACGTTCTTTTGAATATCCTTCTCTTTGGGGTTGTGAGTGCGATCGGCCAGGTTGGTTAATGTTTTGTTATCAAATTCGTCTTGTTACGTTGAGAATTTGTGTTAAATGAAATCAAAAAGTTTAATTTAGTTTGCACACCTTGGAGTACCTAACAATGGCAATTTTGGAAAATATTTCAAATCTACTTTTTATCAAAATTACGTTGTGGCTCCCCGTCATGCGTTTTCATGCATCGTTGCTCACTTGGCTCTCGGAATTTTAAGACTACCAGAGGGACATTGTCCGATAGCACGGTGTAAATTACCCATTTTACATGTTTTTGCAAAATTTTATTTATTATATTGATTTCTAAAGTAGCTACACAATTACTTAAAATACGACATTTTAAACTTCCGAACTCACAAGAAAGTATTTGTTTGCTTCAATTCCCTGCTTTTACTGTATATTGTCATCAGTTATGATACTCGATAAAGGTGCTAGCCAATTATGCTATCCTTTTACTGAATTGCGGTTTCACTTTTAAAAAAGGAATCGTAATTGCATTGCTGCTCTTTTTAATCTGTAGATGTTCATCTATCTGATGATTGTGAATTTCGGCTCTCTAATGTGTTCTATTGTGACAACCACGAGGAAATTCTTTACGGTTCTTGTGTCTGTGGCACTTTTCAGCCATACCCTGTCCACGCAGCAAATTGTGGGTGCTTCACTCGTTTTTGCGGGTCTTATGGCTGATCAGACTATGGGCAAAAAGCACCACCACCAACCCCGTGAACCACAGAGCATGAATTCCAACATTTCGGCTCCTGAGTCCAGACGGAAAAATAAGTGAAGCGGTGGACCGCCTAACAGTATATGCCCCTATGGCTGGCGACTCTATTTAGCCATTTTCTACAAGACGTTAATATGTAAAAAAATGGACCTTATTTGAGCACTACGAATAAAGTTGGAGTTTATTCTTGTGATTGGTTAGTGGAATCATTTTCGGATGGGTTGAAATGATTTTCAGAAAATTAGCTTTTAAAGTAAGAGAGGTGTTATTTCTTAAAAATTTGGGTATATGTAGACGACTGAAAAGCCTTTTTCCACTAGCATAAATTCTTCTGGAGATCCAAAATATCAGGGCTTTACTGTGGGTGCAATGTTTGGCTTCAAGGTATGCTATTGCGCGGATCTCTACGACCTCGGTCTTCATTCATAACCTGTGTGTGCGGATATATAGGTGTACCTTGGTAGTGGTTCGTAAATAATGTGAATGAGGTGCATTATGCTCATTAGCTCTCGACGCTTGGATTATACACATTTATCAACAGGATTATGCTGGGGGCATAGTGAAATTAAAAATTGAACCGAATTTTGTGCAAGCATGAAAGTAGCAAAACGAATGCAAATTTATGTGGTAAATCACGCATTTAATCCCTATCTGCAAAGGTTCATCAAGGTGAAGCTGTTAATATGTCACCACACTATCTGTTAGACACAGATTTAAATAAAAAACATTCAATAACATTTTTTAATTGATTTGTAAAAACTTAAAGTTCCTATAAGCAGAAGCATTTTACAACGTTTTTTATCCCCAAAATGCTAGACAGTTGATAAGCATTTTTTGAAGTATCCTGTAGTATAAATGTCCCCTACCTTGTGCCGGAATTTTGTTCAAGTTTAACTTATGATGCATCCGCATATCTTCGATAAAAAACAAAGTTTATTATCTAAGTTACATCGACATTATATAGCTGGTAACCAACACAATGATTTTCAACAATTCACTGCCATTGTGGTTTAGCTGTGAACTATTCGTTTAAAAATGTCAAGGTCACCGCCGTGTTTTGAGGTCGAAAGGTTACGTCTTTGGCGAAGTAGTTTGATTTCGTGCCATTTTCAGTGTCGTCATGGCTTTTCAGAGTGTACAGTCTTATCTAGTCGAGGTAATTGTAAAATAATGTCATTTCTTCGTTTAGGCTCATCGTCTTCTTTCGATTTGTAATGGAAAGGAACTTGCTGTAATAACCGTTTCCCCCATTATTTTTTTATCAGACATATTTGCAATGCACAGATAAACATGCCCTCAACTCCAGACTAGCTTTAGCAGAGCCTGAAACTGTCGTGGGAAGTGTTTTTGAAGCTCCATGGGATGAAATATTTTCCGCCCACCTTAGGTTTGATATGTTTTTTTTTTACCAACCTAACAGGTGTTTGTGGGCGATTGCCTCCAATAACTTCGAAGAAGCATGTGCCTGCCAGCTAGTATTAGTGAAATATCCTTTTCATCGTTGTTAGATTATGTTTCTCTCTTATTGATTACTTTTCTTGGTTCCGGATTTTGTCCTTAATTCACTAATACGGCTTTGACCAAGGTGTTTTCGGAAGTGAAGGAGGAGAACTGGATGCTCCCTGTCGTCATTGTTGTAGCAGTGGACTTGCGTCGCTTTGCCTATGCATTGGATATTTCGAATAAGAGGAAAGATGAGTCGAACTCCACTTATGGAAGTCACCTTGAGCGCATAGCTCAAGCCATAATGAAGTTGTTTCAGATTTGCGCAGCTGATAGGTTCGTTTGTAAATACTCTATGAGCATTACTTCCTTCACCATCTTGCTTCAGTACGCTATAAATTTTGCCTTGCTTCATGTATGTAGTGTTTTCTCTAATTACCATTCGTTTACTGCGGTTGCTTAGTTTGCTTATTAAATGATGGCTATTTTATCGATTTCTTGCGTCCAAGCCGCTTGTCTTTATTCGGTGGTGGGTTGCAAAGCACACCCTTTGAGCATTATTTAGCCAGTCTCAAGTAAAGCTATCGCGTTGTATTCAAATATACATATTCATAAACCTGATCCGTCAACAAGAAGCGATCTTTTTCTACTATTAAAAATTCTGAAACGTTCTTAAATGAAGTGGAAACTCGGTTAGAGTCTGCTGCTGATTTCTTGAAGGGGAATTTTTAATAGTGTTTTAGAAATTTACTATCATTCACTTGTGCTTATCTCTGTGAACATAATACAAGTGAAATTGCCACCAATTTTTATGGAGTTTGTGGTTTTATTTCGCCGCTCTTTTAACAATTAATGTCCAACACATTCATTGTTGCGTGAAATTGTTGCATTCTTGAAATCGCTTTATGAATTCTCACTACAAATGGGTTTTTAGTGCCGTAGCTACTGCTTTTGTTATAGTTGTACGGCTTCTAAGTAGGGCATATTATTCTAATTATTTAGCAGCAATAAAGCAAAGTATGTATTTGGACTTAGATGTGGAGGAATATTCCTGATGACCAAAGTACTCCTGTTATTTCTAAACTCAGAGTCCAATGTGTGTGTCCATGAATGCGAACGGAGCAAATTTACCCATGGGAATTCGGCCAATCGTAGTTTGTAATTCTAAAACTAATTGTTATTTTGCGTTCTTAGCCGCACTGCGATTGAGGATTCAAAGAAGCGAGGAATGATGGGTTTGGCTAATCAGCTCTTTAAAATATATTTCCAAGTAAGTTGATGGAGTGAATTGCGAGTCTCTTTAGATAAATAAGCTGAACCTTTGCAAGCCAATTATTCGTGCTATTGAAAACATGAATATGGACGCATACTTTAGTCTTGCGCAGCGCATCACTTTCAACTACTACGTTGGCAGAAAGGCCATGTTTGACGGCGACTTTAAAATGGGTGCGCTTGCTTTCATGTTAATCTTACCGCGTGCTACCTTCGAAAGCTACTTGTAATTAACTTTGCCTATTTAGCAAATACCTGTCTGACGTTCGCTTTCGAGCGTTGTTTGGCCTCGCATCACACCAACAAGCGGCTGATATTGATATACCTAATTCCTGTCCGAATGCTTTTGGTAAGTCCGTGCTGTTTGTTACTCTGACTATCAATTTGACGCTCTTTACTAAATTGTCAGCTCTTTCGCTCTCTAGGGCATTTTCCCCCGAAATTCGCTTTTACAAAAATACAAACTGCAGGAGTTAGAAGGGATCGCTAATGCCGCAAGGTGGGTCTGTTTATTTTACTGGTAACTTTCAGGACCGGAAATGTTCAAAAACTAGGTGAAGAATTACAGCGGTACGAGGGCTTCTTCATATCGTGTGGCATTTATTTGATTCTGGAGAAACTGAAAATGCTTACCTATCGGAACCTCTTCAAAAAAGTGTAATCCTAGTTGTCGATTTGGTTATATTGTGTTAAATTGTAGAGCCGGATTGCTTAAAACTCATCTTCAGCCCATTCCCGCCTTTACGGACATCTTGAAAGTGATGGGGGTGCGTTTAATATTTTTTATGCAAAATCATTTGTACTTTTTTAAAAAAAAAGTAGACGTGCTTATTTGTGATTAAATTGTAGGTGGAAGATATTGACACCGATGAAACCGAATGCATTTTAGCAAATCTCATATACGAGGTGAGTCTTCAGAAGTTTCTCACTTCCCTTACCTTAATTAACGGTGTAATCTTATGTGTGGCTTTCATGGAATATGCTCAGTAACTATCAATGTAGACAAATTAGTAAGGGCCTAGGGTCTCGTCATTTGCTAAAAGACCCTCGTATTTTGTGTTAATTGGCAAATAATAAGTGATACCTATTCCAGTAACTGAGGCATTAGTCTGCCGTGTAGACTTAAGTAAACGATTATTATCGAGTACACCTGTTCATAATTTTCAGCCCCGATTTAACTTACCGCCACACGTTAGATCTATGAGTTAATTTTTTGTGCAGATTGTTGGGCAAATTCATTTAGTGTAATAAAGAGAACTACGAACTTGGTCTAGGAAATATTGCCTGTCGTTTTCTATGACCTTACGCCATCTCTCTCTGTCTGGTAACGTTCGCAAAAGAAGCATGCAGGCTTCGAAGCAACAAAGTCCTCGACGATTCTACGCAGATCGTCCGGCGTTTTGAAGTGTTGTTGTAGCGCTGCTGTTAGTAGGCTTTCGGATGTTGTGCGACTTTTCGCCACTTCTCCCAACGCGGCGTGTGTTGTAGCAGCCGCAGCTGCTTCTGGTCACGTGTGCAACACTGAAAGGCTCCACTTTGTTCCTTTTAGTGGGAAATTTACTGTTTTATAGGGAAATGCACATTGTCCATGTCACGTATACAAGGCACCACCTGTACGCTCTCTTAGCCACCAGAGTTATCGGCCTTGTTATATTTTTTTTCCATTTCAAAGTGTCCAAATAAAAAAATAACTGAGGGTCATGTCGCCAGATGCTAGAAGTGCATTTAACTCCGAAGAAATAGCATGCTGCCTACTGCCACTACTGCATTATGCCTGCAGCGAAATAGCCTAGAAGCCCCTCAGTTGGCTAATGCGCAGGGGAGCAACACCGTGCAAGCGGTGAGCAATCAGCTACTAAAAATTCACCCAACGTGGCTTAGTGTTGTTTGGGTGAATTGGGATCGCAGCATTGTTTTGAATGCAAGCGATCATCACTCATGGGGTTGGTGCAGCATCATCGTTCACCAACACTGGAATGTGGGGGGGGGAGGGGACGCTGTGGTTCAATGCGTGGGCGTCGTGACAGTCTTCTGTGACATGACTTGTTGCGGGCCCCAGCATGTGGTCTTGAATTACGCCGGGGCCACTGGATTAACTCTGGCCCGATTACGTTTCCCTGATACCCGCGATGAAGAAAACGATCGGAGAGGACGTGGACACGACCGTTTACTTCAGGGCTCAACCACGGTGTCGTGTCGTGTGTGGCATTTGCGCGTGTGTACTTATACCTCAGATGTGTGAGTCATACATGCGCTAACATCGATACCTAGGTGTGAGGATAATCCAAGATAAATATTCGTGTGAATGAGGGGGGAGTTGAGTATCCGCGCGGCTGGCGAAATGCTGCGAAAAGGGGGACCCTGTGTCGGAAGATGGAGCGACCGGATTAAGGAGTGTGAATCAGCTCGATTCACAACAGACCTGATTTATTTCCGTTCTCACTTCATGTCAACGGTTAAACACAAACCATTAATTTTTACCCGACATTTCTTGTAAAGTTGGCATGCTTCTGCATTTCTATTAACCTCTGTTTTTTATAGCGACTGAATTAATGATTGCACAAATTGACTACTTATGTTTGTTTTCAGGGCAAAATCAAGGGCTACTTAGCTCACCAACAGCAAAAACTCGTTGTGAGCAAAGTCCAGGCTTTCCCTCCACTATGAATCTGCCTGTACATAATCCTTTTTGATATAAATCTGCCTCTTAACCGTCTACTTTTTCATGGATGCAGAAGCAAGCACTGTGTAAGAACGATTTATGGCATATGCGCCTCTCCGGTTAGTTCACTGGTACAAGTCAGCACAGTTTTCGTTGAATTCACGTCGAGATCCGCAAGATGTCTATTTCTGATTCAATTCACTATTCCATGGCGTTACTTGGCACTATCGGCGTTCCGCCATCATGAATCAGCCTCGAAGGATTTCCGCCTGCATGGCTTTTTGATCTTCGTGTTGTTGTGATAATTTGGATCGGCGGCACATAAATCAAGACTACACGAAAATGATGGGTGTGCGGGGTGTGCATTCCGTGTTGCTTAGTCCGCGGTGGTCTCAACATGGCGTATTGCCTGCAAGGTTTCTTTACCGTGCAACAACGCCGACCAGTCTGACACGACTTTGCCTCCAAGGCGCGAACACCAAGTTTCCTTTTTCAGTCACCGCTATTACAGCCCCCAACAATTTGGACAAAATTAGCATGCTTCCTGGCTTCTGGTGCTTTTTTTAAAACCCCAAAAGAGGTAACGTTCTGGTATTTTATCCAATCTTTAATTGTAGCAAGGTGTCACTTTTGACCGCATAAATTGGTGTACCAGTTAGCGAACCAATCGCATATCAGTGTGCGGTATCTCCGCGGTGGTTGGTTTGTTTTACGCGGTGATCGTATCTTGAAGTGTGTCAAGTTTCCTCTCGCGAGTGATCAAGCTCCTGTTGATGGAGCCTGGACAGCTGTGCGAGTGCTGGCGGTCAGTGCTGAAGTCGGGTTATATACTGTGCTTGGGTATTAAGTATGTCTTTTTAAAAAGGGCAATTCATTAAATTTAGTGATTTGGGGGTAACAGCGGCCTGTTGATGCGTACTATTTCGCAGGAGGTCAGAGGAAGTCTTCCGATTGGTGGTCGCTGACAAGTATGTTCTCAATTTCCCCGAGAACTGCGTTAGAGAGAGCTGACACCGCCTAAAATGCCATTAAAGTCGTGCTTATTTTCAAAATTGCGCTTTGGACAGGTAACATCGCTGATACACTTCATGTAACTTTCTTGTTAGGATGTGCATTTTTCCTCGTAATTTATGGAAAACTTCTGTTATGCCCAGCCACCCGTCAAGAATCTTACGAAAGCAACCAAAATACCTTTCTTCGAGCTACAAAATATTGGGTTCATGGCCTTAATCCAGGCCAAGAGCGTTGTGTTGCCGTCATTAAAATCACCTCAATGTAGGTCAAAGGCGTGTTTTCTTATTGCCCCTCGCCAATCGAGTACGCGGCTTTGATGTGCTTTCGTGACCTTGACGTGGTTTAAGCTGATGTCCAGAGTCTTTTGGTCACCCGTGGATTGGCTTAGAACTAAAAACTGGCGGTGACCCGCGATTTTCATAGGCGGTGCGTTTTCTCTGCACAATCAACTTTTTTCACAATCCCATTTGACCTCTTCGTAATGTCACAGCTTCGGCCAAAAGTCACACCGTTCACGCGCACGCTGATTGACATTCTCCGCTTACAGTGTATTATTGACTCTAGCGGAATAAGTGGATGTTCTCAATGGCTCCTCTTCGTGTAGTCTGGAACACAGTCCCCTTCAGTTCCATCGTGTTTTCCTTCATTTCATTGTCACTTGGGGCTAATCTGGTCGAAAGCGTACCGATATCTGGCAAAACAACACACAGTACATCGTGTTATCATGCTTTGTTAATCTATGACAGCAAATCGCGAGTTGTCATGGTAGTTCCATTTAAATTGTTAGTTGGATTTTTTTAAGTTCAGTGTCAGGACTTAACAGAATCGCATAGTCATTCCTAAAATAGTCGACCATACCTTCGGTTGGCTAACACTTGAATAGAGAATGTCAATGAGTGTGCATTTGATTTGTAAGATTTTGAGGAAGTGTTATTGGCGGATACCCAAGCCATGGAAAAACAGCGTCGGACGCAAGGGAGACTATTACATTCAGAAGCACATTGGTAAAAATGTATCTTACAGATTCTAACTTAATGCAAAAAAGCTGAACTTTAAGCACGCGCATAATTTTATATAATACTTTGGCCCTGTATAATTTAACAGTTTAAAGTGAGTTTATTGCCTTGGTGGCCCTCAGTAGTTAATAAATACGTACCGAGATCGCTCCAAGGTTTTCCTGCAGCTGGTCGACGGTGGCTGCTCCCAGTATAACACAGTTTATGTGGTTTGATTTCAAGCACCAAGCTGCAAAAGAAATGCTCTTTGAGCACTAGACTTGGCAATCCGCGTTTTTTTGTTCATATGTTTGGAAACTTCACATTCAGTACCTTTTAATGTCTAAATTGGGATTTAATGACAAAAGTAAATTCGCTATATAACAATTAGAACCTTGTTATTATGCTCGCTTAGTTTATGGGGAAAACTGTCTGATAATGGCCAACAAGTAACAGAATTCGCTGAGATTGTGTGGGTGTGACTGGGTCACAAGGGTCCAACAACGCGGCCGAGGTAGAACGGACGAAATCTGGCCGATTCGAGGGGAAAATATCCACATTTTGCTTTCGGTAAATGCAGTATTCACGTTTGGGGAGTTATGTGGATTGGAATTTCAAAATACGGTGGGTGGTTTAGTTCCAAGGCCAAGCATTTTTGGTAAGGGCTGGAGTTAATGGGCAAAAGCTTTTAAAACGGAAGGCATTATCTTCATTATTGAAACTCTAATCACCTGTTCAGCGGCAGACTGTGTAAAAATCGAGCTTGACACTGATAACTCGAGGTGCCAGTTACTCAACACCGCCAACCACTAGATGCCTTCCAAGCACATCACTGGAAATGCGATACTATGCTCTTGCCTATACTCACTCAATATTTGAGCGTTCACAAACGCGTAGATTAAGTCTTTAAGGAAATTTTCAGTTAGACACATGCATGATCTAAACATAATATGAGTTTCCTACCAATGGATAATTGTGGCAGCGATATTCCAAGTCGGTTCGCCAACTTCGATAGCTGCGATACCTGCATCAGCTGTTCCTGACCCTCTTTGCTAAGGATCTGCTTCCGAAGTCCCACCTGACTCTGCAAAATACAAGGGAAATAAAATTTTTGCAAAAAAACGCGATGGGATGGTTTGTTATGGCGATCATGACGTGGGTATTGACCTTAATCGATTTTTCTGCCAAACGTTCAGGCACCCATCCGGTAAACTGGTCTTCTCATTTAATACCATCCGCCGCTCACAACGGCATCCCAAAAGGCTCCATTCGTTGCTATTCTTGATGCCCTTTGCCTCGAGTGCCCACCCCAAATTACAGTTGACCAGGTGCAGTCTACCACCATCAAGAGAATATTAGTATTTGATAACTTATCTTACCAATTCCAGCTCTCAACCAAAGTGTTTCTTTAATAAAGCAGATTTGCCAAGAATGAAACAGAAATTATTATAATTTGACATTTAAGCAGAAGGCCCGCCACATGTTATACATGGATCAACCACATTGGGTGAAGTACCTGTAACGAGGCTCGGGAGTAACGAGGTATTTTGTCGCCGTATTTTCCGGAGAGAATGCCTTGAGCCAACGGAACTCCAGAGATAAGACCCATACCTATTGAAAAACAGGGAGCATTTTTCCACACCAGTAACAGAAATGACCAAACTTTACCCTGTACAGTCTCAACCAGTAGTCAACACCAAATAGATAATTTAAAAAAAGTATGTTGCACCTCCTTTTTCATTCTGGGATCACACTTAATTTTATCACTTCACACGCTGACCTTGGCACTTTACGGCATCGTCTCTTATGATAAAACAAGTCTACCACCTGTTAAATGATTTGGCTGGAACAGTCAGTGTAGACTCGAAGAAGTCTTCAAGTTTGAGCTCTGAACTACCTCCGAATTTCGACCAATTGGAAAAATCAACTCCTTTTGGATATCGGCTCACATAACTGGCATATAAGGCGGCCGCCACAGGTGTGCTCCCGTTTCGCTTTTTTCCATTTTCCACACCACTTGCAAACCAAGCACACAACACAGGTTTTGGCGGTCGACAACGGTTGATTATTAGCTGCCATACACTAACAACTTCTAGTTTACCTAATCATTTATCGGGCAGTAAGTTACGCACATTTCTAGCATTGCCTTATCAACTTGTTTGCAGAACTAGCTGAAGACCTGACAACAGATTAATGTATCAATTACGTTTTCTTGCAAAATATGATGATGCCACTGAAAAAACAGCTTTTACGGCCAAGAGAATGTCTGACATCAACTTATACATTCTCAGAAATCGGTCTTGATGGATCCTGTACGTACACAGAAGACTGGTTAAGTAATGTATGAAAGAAGGCCCTATTTCTAACCCAGGCCCGAGTGTTGCCAAAAAGGAAAAGTAGAGGAGATTTTATAAGTATTGCAAATCTGAATGCTGCGTGAAGTCATTATAGCTCAAGAAGGGAGATGGTGTGAAAAATATACCGAGAAAAGTCATGAGTGGAGTGGCTTCAATTTCATTCAATATAAAACTCCATTTGGGAGTTAACCCCCTGGAAAAATACAGCCGGCTGCGATCGCGTGATCGTCGTGTCTACTTACGCTTCTTCATGCCTGTCTGCCAACCAAAAGCACAAAATTTGCTATATTTATGAAAAAATTGGTCTGGATTTTAAGTGAAAGATTCAGAGTGCCTATATCTTTTTGCCTTTTGAGGAAGTCAAGACCCAATTTACACTTACATAAGTTCCCTATTTACAGAACGCAATAATCCTTCTTCTGCCTTTAAATCTAAAAAACATAATTCTACTGAAACTCAGGTAAGGGCCGGTGGTAAATTAGAAAAGTGAATAAGCCAAGTACGTGATAAGCAGCCTCGCTGGTAACGAGTCTGATACTTGTATTAAAAATGAATGACATCCAGGGACTATTGAAACAGAATAATAAAGACAAGAGCAAGTGTTCATTTTGCCTCGAAATCCAAAGGCGCATGCAACTTCATGCATCAATAACCAAGAATATGATTTTGTTAACGAGGCTTTCCAACAATTTGTTTGATCATCCTTTCGCGTGATTATCAAACCTGATGCTAACAAGCTTTAATATATATGATTTCGGTCATGGACACCTTAATATTAAAATGAAAGTCAATAAGAAAACTAATGAATAATAACGATGAAAAACAAGACAACGGTCCCTTATACCAAAATCTTAACCTGTTTGCGCTTTCAAAAATTAAAAATTCGATTTCCCGTGAGAAATAAAAGGGAACACCTAGAACCAAAAAAAACACAATTTGCATTCAGAATTAGCATTTCTACCCACTTTAAATTATTGGGACCGAAAAATAAATAATAAAGGAATTAAAGCAGTGAAATTGGTGGTACATGGCCAATCTGTAATAAAATGACTTATAAGAGAAAGAAGTCGTGATTAAGTAAAGACAATCGATGGTGTAAATTCACCAACGGTGTGTCGTCCACGGCACCGTTTACGTTGAAAATCTCCTGAAAACTTGGCATTATTTCCTGAGCCACGCGAACTCCATGGACCTGTGGAGCCACGCGTCAGGTAGTGAATGTGATTTCGAATGTTCAGGCATTTCCTTATACGCTGCCTATTTGGTCGTTCTGGAGACCACGTAACACACACCACCCTTTCTGTGAAAGGAGGCAGAATTCATCCAAGCGATGTAGGCTTTACAGCGTGAGGTGGCCATCAAAATGTCGCATGTTTGAATTATTCACACTTAACAATTGCGATCATTTGACAGAGCACTGCTAAGTCTAGTTTAAAGTGACGGATCCCCAATCATTAATCGTGATTTTTGAGAAAATAATTATTCGATAGTTACTGACTACTGAGTAATTTCGTGGAAATAGCTAAAAACATGTGTATTGCTGACAAAATGAAGCAGTTTCGTAAAAAATGCCAGTCGATATGTGACGCTGTTTGCTTGTGACCTAAAAACCAGTCGATTGGCTTTTTTAACCAAACATTCCACCCACGTAGCGAGACAAATTACCATAGGGCATGATAACTAAGTCACTGTGAATTTCTGCTTCGACAACGTTAGGTACGGGGCAATTGTGCACCTCTGGCTACAGCAATGTAAACAAAACGATTTTGACTGATCAGCCATTTTGTATTACGCAAATCCGGTGGCCAGTCGTTGCAGATATATACCCTACGTCTTTCAGAATGGATAACTTAATGAAGACGGAAATGTGTCGTAGGAGGCTGCAATTCGATCAACGCATAGCTGATTTCTAGTTTTAAAGTAAATTTTATGCAAAAATTTATTATTTAAAGCCAAAAATTACTTTAACTTTAATTTTTCAAGGTCGATACAGTGCTTAACTTACCCAGTTTTGAGCAGAGTTCTGACATTCCGAATTCATGAAATTCTCGCTGGAAGAGGTTGAACTCCAAGGATTCCAATGAAGGAGGTGTGAGATGAAATAGTCGTGCCACGGTATATGCTTCCTGTGAAATAAGCGACAACAATTTAACACCATTTCTTCAGTTTAGCGTCACTTGCATTGGCTATGCACAGTGGGTTTCTTTACTAACTGATTGCTTTGCCACCCCACCTAGGGTTTGTTTAACGTTGCGGTAAATTATCTGTTATCGTATAAAAGCAAGTTTAGTAATAAAGACGTAATCTTTACTGCACAAAGCATTTTAATTAGCAAAAAATAGAGGGCTAGAAGGATCGATCTAGTCATCTACGGATTTCGCGTTTTACACATTAAAATGGTACTTGAAAATCAATCCTTAAAGGCATTAGAGATGGTCCCGGCCACTTTCAGTGATAAGATTTGTGCATCGTGGGAGAGTTGAGGCCGATATGGTGTCTGAGGTCTCGTCCAAACACGCTAGACAGGGGCTGGCCAAGCTTCATCACGGAAAATTTACACACGACCGCTACCCTCTTAAATGGGGCTTCACTTTAAATGGAAATCCCCTATGTACTATGTTTTTATTACTGTTTTTTTATGTTGGGTTTGGAATTCGATATAACCGTAGTTGACCCAATTCAAATTTTGCTTCTATGAAGATGTAAAAGACGCAGGGCACTCCACAAGAAGATAAAAAGACCATTCTGGTTCTCTTAAAGCCCAGCAAATATTCTCGGGAAAGGAGTGATACAATGAGAAAAATTAAGGAGTGGGTGAAATCTAGGCCTTTAAAAAACTTGCAGCCGGTCATTTTCTTGCATTGCACCTTTACGCCCCACTGTGGCATCAAGGGAGTCATTTATGTATATGATAAAATCTGTGATAATTCACCTTTTTTTAATAATAGGCTTTTGCGAGGATTATTATCTGATTGATCACAGCAAAGATTGGGACTTTATGATACCTCTTGGATTCAGTCACAGCTTGATTTAATGCGGGAAAACTCTGATCATGTAGTAGGTTTATAGGGTTAATGGATTTTTAATTAGTCGTGCAATGATTTCAAAAATGCGCCCTTATTTATGACAAAAGGAGTAAATCAGTGCCGAATAAGGTCTGCCATTCATTTTTGCAGCGTTTTTCGTTCTAAAATTTCTGAGGCAAGCAAGCTATTCAGTAGTTTTAAAATCAGACTGTCCATAATGAGTAATTTTTGCAGCACGAACTGCACTTAAACAGCATTAACTTTCTTTCTGCAATAAGTTTACTTTGTGTGAATAAGTTCACACAGCCCTAATATGGGTAGTTTGTTTGAAACGCTAATTAGGTACTAAGCACACGTCTTGCCATAGAAACTCATAAATGACAAGCCAGATATGAAACAAATCAATTCATTTTTACCATAACCATTGTCTCTGGCAAATCCTAATGCAGATAATCTGAATAGAATGCAAAGAAAAACCAGTAATTTTTCAAGTTAATGTCTGGAAACAACTGTTTTGTTTGCATTATTTACACTGGCACCAACACAACGATTATGGACAACCTCGCAAGTTGTTTGCATTACGAAGCGGGTACTTAAACCATTTGCCTGGTCTGAAGGCAATGCGACTCTTTTGATGTTACTTTATAGAGCGAAAGACCGTATTTTATAGCTAAATGTAAGCCACCAATTTGCTGATATTGTCATTTATCAGTTGGCACAACAAGCCTAATTATTTGAAATGCTACCACCAGATATAGCATTCCCACATTTTAGTTAAAAGGACAAATGGATACTAGCTTTCAACGTATTTTCAAGAAGATAGAGGACTTCAGTAATATCCTTTGTATGAAAATAATTCTGAATGTTATCTGAATTTAACAGCCTCCTACCTTCCGCCATATCTTTTTAGGTGCTGCCTTCTGGCATCCAAGCACAAAGTTAGGTGTCGTCCTCTATGAACGAAAGCTTGTTAAAATAATTCCCAAATCCGTTTTTCTGTTGCCTAGATGTATATTTTTCGATTTTGTCCCCATTTAAACTTTGATCAGTCAAAGACGACGTGTTCCATGGACGCCTTGCTCCTTTATCTATTACTTCTATTTAAAAAGGTAACGTCTAGAGATGCCGGTTTTCTCGTTGATGACTTGGCAAACACATATTTTGGCACATAAGCTGAATGCAATAATCACATTTTCAAAGTCAGCACTAAAGGCACTGACGGCAGCATCGGTCTAAGCGCAATCTTTTTTGGGGACCAGCATTCTCCATGACGGCACATCGCGGGTTGGGATTTCGGCGTTGTTTACACAATGCCCCCAACCACTCCACTCCAGTGGGTGAGTCGCCCACGGTGACCTAGTGACAGCTCCAGCTGTGTCAATCCGATTCATCCACCAGGTCAAGGTCATCCCTAACTTATATAAGTGGGTGCATTCAGACAGATCACTCGGCCTTTGGCTGAGGTATTAAAAGCTCTCTGAACGAGACCATGCCATGTCGCGCATTAGCGTGGGAGGTTGGAGAGGCTAGTGTCTGATGAAGGATCTGAACGGAACCGATTATCTAAGTGAGCGTGTGGTCATGGTTACGGTCAGAGCGTAACAAATCTGGCGTGTGTTCTCTATAAGTCATTAAACATGAATGTTCAGTACGATTTCCCAATGCCCAAATGTTTTGCTTTGCAATTTTTCTAAGGTGAACTACGAAAACAGAATTAAATCACCACTGACCAAAATTCCAGACGCATAGCAGAAATAGCCCATTCTAGACTCTAGATGTTAAATTATCAAATAGTAGATTCGTGACACTAATTTATGATCGTAATTGTTGACATATTAACTCACGCATGGTTTAATTACGCATTAATTCAGTTACTACATAGGGCTTAAGAACACTAACTTGAACTCATGACAGAAGTGAGGTCTGTTTAATTTTGCCACCGGTGACAATATATGTACTTTTGTAAAAAAAAAGTTAATTAGGTGGATTTCGAAGAGGTGCGAGTTTTTTTGTAAACACGGATGCAGTTAGACTCACTTTAATGTCTTCTGGCGTCCAATCTGAGGTTCCCCAGTAAAATGCCCATCCCTGGTGCACGACGAATGAACAGGCTCGTACAATTTCCTCTATCGTACAAATTCTTTCAGGATCCCTACTCACTAAGACTATGTCCACGTAATGCAGTTGCAGACGCTCAAGAGAACCCATGAGACCTTAAGGGAAAGAGGCGTCAATGCATGAACCTATAGAACAGCAAATCTGCAATGACTCATCTTGAAAAACCCTAAGTTAGGCTCATTTTAAGTGTAATTGCAAAATAAGGCAAGGAATAATGCCGCCGAAAGTAGCCACGCAAACGTACTTTGGAACCAGCAAACCCTGAAATTAAAGAAGCCGACTGTGCATTTGACTGCCACACTTCACAATGATATCCAGCTAATACTACAGAATAACACCTGTTCTGCCTCAGTTATCCAAATAATTAGGAAGTAATTTGTACAAGAACACGCAAATCAAATATGGCATTGGCAACCTTTGATATTTCCGAAACAGCCATATTTTTCAAATTACTATTTTGCAGGCCAGCATCTCATACCTTCAATAATCCGCTTTCGCGATAAGGTGCGCTCCGTCGGTGAACTGAAATTAATAAAACCGATTATGATGTCAAATTAGTATTATTCCATTGACGTATTAAAAATATACTTTTATCTTTCAGTAGGAAATACAGCTATCTGAGAACTTACACTTCCATGTGTTTGTCAACCAAATAAACATTTATTTCCAGCGAAAACTGTCGAACCAAATTTACGAATTTTTCAACAGCGCATCTTATTTTTATTTTGACGTTTTGCCCAACAAAGCTACTTTCCAGACCCTAAAACCAATGCTAGGTCTATTCGCACATTCTAGGGCAAATATTTGACCAATTCAAATAGTCATGGTTACACTTTGCCAGCCTATCGGGAAGGGCAGTATTTTTGATACATTCAAATAAGTTGAAGGAGGCTTTTGTTAAAAATATGCTTAAATTAAACACGTTGGTAGGAATGCCTTAAGAGCGACTAAGGAAACACGGTCAGCATTATTTACTAAGTTAGACAAAAGTCTGTTTTGCAAGTGTAATCAAGGTAAAAGAGCCAAATCGTGTCTGTAAGGGACTTCAGAGTGCAGCTTGCATTCACTCCAAATCTGCGATAGCTGTGACTATCTGAATTGGTGCGCTCCAATTTATCCGCTTGTTGGTTGCGTGCAATTCATAACCATTAGTAGTTCGTGTTGGCTGAACATAAATCTCATTCTTTTATATTGCATTATTCCCAAATAACATCCCACAAACACTAAATAGTAGACTTAGACTCCATACATTTTTTTCTTTCCTTTTTCTGGTCACAAATGCCAATCCACATTTGCAGCAGTATGCTCTTACCTTGGGATAATAAAAAGACAGCATTAACACCTGTCTATTTTATTACCCTTTAGGGTCTACACCAATGCAGATTTTGTTCACACATTCTCAACAGTTGCAGAGTTGATTTAAATTAAGCAAATCAAATTACCATGAGGGGTGAATTATATTGGTTTTTTAAACGGCTACCACCGAGTACCAAAACCCGGCCAGGCTGTCATGGTTCATAAGTATGCTTAGAGTTTGTTAAGGCAATTTTGTTTTCCAAGCTAATGCTGTCTCTCTTGTGCCCATTTAGTCATATAGTACAATTTAATTGATTTTTCTAACGCGCTCAGTAGTAAAATAGATGATGTTTGATCGCTACGGAAATAAATATCAGTTCCAACATTTCAAATTATATACTCTTTTTGATGGAAAGAGTGAGGAGTAATATTTCGGCCATCCTGGAATGCCACTTGTAAATCCGCGGTATAAGTTGCTGATTACTTCGAAAAAAGGTTTATTTCGATAAACCTAGGCAGGAGTTTTAATGCTAACACTCTTCGATCTGAAATCCTGATTCATTCGACCGATCAACCGCATTTTTATCAAAACTATTTTTCAATAATTTAATGCTATTTTGGGTGTTTGAAGACACTAACAAGCATCTTAACTCTTATTATATTCGTTAAACTGCCCTATTAAAGTTATATTATTCCAAGACCCAGTCACCATTTTCGCCAACTGATACTCTGTGAGTTAGCCGTAGATATTAGCTACGTAAATTAGGGTATAGATAAGAAAAGCATGATAACTTATGGCTAAACACGCCCGATTCCTAAAGCAGCCTGCATGTTCAAACCTGCATAGCTCCCAAACGCTCCCCATTAGACACAAAGGGTAAATATACGTGGCCCTTTAGAAAACATGAGAGTCATGTAGCCCAATTTTCAATTCCAGGTAAAACATGACCTCACACGGTTCAAAAATGCAGGCTGATTTAGGAATTGGGCATTTTTAGCTAAAATTTGTAAAACCCTACAGAGTTTCAGAAAGGTCTTGACTTCTGAGCAAAGCAATCACTTTTCATAATATTTAAACAAGTAGCTCCACTTCTGAATTTCGACTTTAAGGGATGACTCAAATTTCCACATCTCCATATACATATTTAAATTACTTGAAGCAAGCTGTAATAAGTTTTCTATTTTTACTCACCTACCATTTCGATGAATTCTTGTGCACACGATATAGCTTGAGCGCCTAAAATGAACATTTAAACATTATCTTGTGATTTTGATAGATGTACAGATAGGATGGAAAAAGTTTACAACTTCCATTTTTTACCATTATCTGTATTGGACAAAAGCATTTGATGCATATCTCCATTTGCTGTACCTAAAATTAAATTTCGGTCGTCTGACGGCCACGTTTAGGTCCAGGACCGAAGTTCATCATAAGCTTTCACGTACTTTTACTAATTTGTGTGATAGTTTTAACTTTGAGTGTGTTTACATTTTTTTGAATCTCAGGATTGATGATTTCTGGAAAAAAATCGAAAACGCACGCATAATCCGCAACAGTGCTGACATGCAAAATCCAGGACCACACCAGTACGTCTTAAATAGAAGTCGAATCTGCGACCAAAGTCAGTGATGACAAAAACTCTTTGAATATTCAGTAGGCTTGATACTCCCATGGGGGGTTTATTTTTTCGACTGTGTTTATGAACGGCATAATATGGACGTGAACGTAAATGACCACGGCAGTTTAAAAGTACTACTATTAACCCAAAGTCTCTTTAGCAAGACGGATGCATACCTCCAGCCCTTACTTTTCAAGATCTTTCCGAGCGTTCTTTCAGCCCTACAAAGGGAAATATTTGAAAAGAAAGCACATAACCGGGGCCATCCCTTTGCCCAAAAGCACAAAATCTCAACTTACTGACCCTCAGAATAGAACTCAGCAGTGTCAAAGAAATTCACTCCGCTGTTGTAAGCGAGGGTAGTAATCTTTTCGGCCATCTGATGTAGAACAGAAAAAGAGGCTTCAACAAAACTGTCAGAAAATTATGATAAAATCTAATTAAAAGCGGATTCAAACTTTTTTGAGCAATCAGATTTTGGCTTGACGACTCGATACCGAAAAATTGTACTTGAGAATATTTCGAGAATAAAAAATTAACTTTGCCGCACTAACTTCAGCTGACTAATAACAAATAAACATTGCATAAACCCTTTTTTTTCAAATTAACGTCTTTAGAAGTGCTCTTAGCGATGGATCCTTGTTATTAGTGGATGGCGTAGTCACTAAATACTCTAATCAAAAGATGATCATTGATTAATCGAAATCCTGGAAAGAAAAATACGTTTTGTTTTAATGTTGTATTTCTGCAATTCAAATCACATGGAATTACTTATGATAGTGCTCCCCGAAGCCAGATCTTTTATACTTGCAGAAAAAATCAGAATTTACCGCAATGAGGCACAGGTCAGGGTGAAATTACAAATTAGCAAAGTAGTTCACTTGAGTCCCTTAAGAATGGCCAGAATCAACACAGACAGAATATCTTTCAGCAAAAAAAAGTGATTAAAACTTGGTAATTTGAGGGAAAATGGTAGTGATATTAACTTACTTCGTCTGAGATTTGACTGCCAAAAGTGACAGCTGTTCCTGAAGTCAATGAAAAGAAGTTTTCTCAGCTTCGAATAGCGCTGTCGATGATTAAAATAGCTGGCAAAAACGTTCAGTGCTAAGTAAGCGATCCTCAAATATGACTTGTGACTTTAGTGTTAAGACTAAGGATATTTTACCGACGCGGGACCCATCAAACATTTGTTCTAAGTTAGGCTTGGACCAGTCGGAATAGTTAAGAGCTACTGAGACTGTGGTTCATCAGTAGGCACGCGTTAAGCCTACCAGCGAAGTTTTAATTTACCCTATTTATGTTAATTTAAATATGGTATTTTGGTTTTAAATAATGTCAAGAGAAGAGAACGAGTCAAGGAGGTTTAAATATCACACTAAAAAAGGAAACCAAGTTGCTAGACAAATGAGAGGGTGCATAGTTACATGGGTTTTTCTAAAACTTAATTTACATTTTAATTTGAATCGTTGACAAAGAGAAGTGAACACTTCCCCCTCAAACTGTCAACTGCTGCTCTTCCCCGCGAATTAAGTAAGGGGAGGGCTACCATCTTTCGAAAATTTTACGTCCACTTTTAATGGCTAGATGGCCGGAAGTGCAATAAAATGGACTGAAAGGCTCAAAGATTGAATTCATTTTAAAGAAGAATTTTAGTTACATATTGCGAGACAAAACATACACCAGTAGTACCGCAAGCACTCACACTTCTTGTATGCCTAAATGTAATTTCTGTGTAGATTGGCAGCAACATGGTCTATTACCAGCAACTAGCAAAGCTTCCTTCGAGATTCTCCACACTACGAAGGGTTTCACGAAGTCTGAAGTTTTTCAAGAGTCGAATATCGTGGCACCCAGTTTGTAAAAGGTACAAGGTGTGTGAAAGCAACAACGAAATTCTGTAATATTATTCGCTCTTTTGGTTTTTGCTGCCTATAACTGTTACTGAAAGTGGCCCATTATTCGCCTTCCACTGGAGTTTATTCAGTTTTTTCCTAAACTAAAGCAAACTCAAATTTAACAAACTCTCCCGCTTTAACTGAGCGTCGAGGTATTTCGGAAGAAATTGGCTAAGCACTATAACACCTACCATGTTCTTGAGATGACGCCCTTGATAGCTATCAAAATAAGTAAAAAAATCAATTTTACATGAACATACTTCTTCAGATTCAATTTTAAATAGCGGACCAGACTTACCTACTCTGCACAGTTTTCCTATAAGTGACATCAGGGGAAAATGCAAATTTGAAGATGTAAAATTAAAGTCTTTACTAAAACCCTGTTCATAGTTCCTTTTAATTGCCTTAGCACTTAAATATTCAAAATTATCACTTGGACAGTTGATCTCGGACCAAGTGAAGTCCTGGAATGTTATACAGCACGACGTTTAGTTCTAGTGAACCAGCAAGGGATAATGATTTGTTCACAAAAAAGTCTGCTTGACCACTGTAAATTTTAAATCCATCAAAAACCAGCAGACTGACCCAGAATTCAACCCGGATTCCTTTTTCCAGTTATGGGTTGCAGTTATTTTTTGCACCTATTTTTCATGCACGTTTTTTTTGAGAAAACGGATGATGCATTTTGGCATTGCAACATGTTGAAAACTCGTATTTAATTACCAAGCAGCTGCTACTAATTGAAGGCTTGGATACAGCGGTGCAAAGTAACTGCCATCCAAAAATGTGCCTGGGAGCAAAATTAGCCGAAGTGCCGGGAAGTCAAATATAACCTGCCCGGAGGCACTATTATCTTAAGTTGGAGTTATGCATTAAGGCAACTAGTTGATTTTGATTAAACACGATTGTTGAAGGGAAAATTAAGTAGGTGGACAGCTCCAAGCCATGTTGCCAAATAATTTGTTAAGGGTGCTGTGTGAAGGGACCTTTTCCCTTTTTAAAATCAAGACCATTACTAAATTCGATAATAGCAAAAGATCGCACTGCACACTTTTATCATTTCTTTAAAGGGTGCGAATTACGAAGAGAGTTCGCGCTTTATTTAAATTTACCGGGAAATGCAAAATCGGTGCAATCCTATCTGACAGACAATCCCAGCGCGTACAAGCCTAACCAAATGGGTGGAAATTGTACACCATGTGTTCATTTTTAGGCCTTAGTCAACGACGCATTCAAAAGCCTTTTGACTTCCGCATTTTGTTGAAAAATTTTAATGACTCTTGAATCAGCAACAAACTGCAGTTAATGAAACTGTATTTTGTTCGAACTGGAATGCCTTTGAAAAGCAACATTCAAACCGTTGTATCCTGATAAAAAACCAAAGGGATAAAATTTAAACGCCAACCTCATGTAAGTGTTTTTCTTCATGCACCGCCATTCCCATCATTTCAAAAAGATGGTTGAACATACGTCATGATGCATCAAGTGTCACACTAGGAGCACTAAAAACGATAGCCCTGTATTTTTGGTTCGAAGCTTTTAGATTGAAAGCTATTCGTTCCAGACCTGATGTAAACACTTCGCTTGAGCATTTTTATGACCGTCTAAATCAAGGACTGATTTGAGCTCCTGTTGAGGGAAGAGTCCAAAAGACGATTTTAGGAAGACGTGATCAATTAAAGATTTACTAGAATTCAGCTTACCGAGTCCCAGACACGAAATCCTCAGCCCAGTGCCACCGAGTTTCCTAAAAGACATGAGACATTTGTCTTAAGCCTGGCCACAGAGTGGGCCAAAATCCATGCATACAATCGCTACCTCAGTCCTGCGTTCCCAGCTTTGCTTAAACTCAAACTCCTGCTGGTGGCAGCCAGTTATCTCAACTGAACACAACGACGGTCCACATAGAATTGCGCTCAAGGAGCTAATTCAAGAGAGGGCTGGTTTCTTAAAAGCATTAATTTTGGTCACGCAATTGAACACCTCGATTTACGGTTTCTGTAGATAATCGAAAGGCGCTTTTGGGATTCTAGTAACTTCGCTGCGTGGGTACTAAAATTGTTAAGGATCAACCATGCTGTAGCGTCGCCATTTTTTGTAAAGTAAAAAAGTCAACTGAACCACTGACAAGACTGTAGCAAGTAAATATGTATGCACACTGCCTCAAAAATGAACTAATAATCTGAATTTAAGCACACGTTTTTCAATGGCTTTTAGCATTAGAGATGTTTATAAATAGTTGCAAACACAGGTAGAGCTTGGCAGCTTTGGGGTGTGTTTTTGGTACTAATAAGAAACAACTGCATTTTAAACCCAATTTCTGGAAACCGTGATGTTTTTATGGCTGCCTTTTTTATTTTCCGATGACTCGTCCCAAAATTTTGTGATAGGTTATGAAAAGGTCTCCCACTTGTAGTGACAAGTTGAAGGAACACAAAGTTAAATGCACAATAGTCAGTTTTGTAGGTAAACTAAACGTAAAATTTCCATTTTCTTTAGTAATTCACTGTCATGATAAGCATCATTTTAACCATTTTAGTTTTAGCCCAACGCAGAATCTATAGTAGACAGATTATTAAAATATTATAAGTGACTTCCTAATGCCACCAGCAACTATAAGTCGACAAGTACAATTGTGTGACTAAGATGAATGAATCTCTCAACTGAAATGGGAGATGAGAAGACTGATCGCCACCATCAGGAATTTTAATTTAAGCATAGGTGGGCTAGTAGGACTGAAGTGATGACTATTTGTGTGGAAATCGGCCTACGCTGTGACTCGAGGGCCACTGTAAATTTCAGAATGAACAAGTCTCCAATTGTGCATTTGTTTTGCATTTCTGTTTGCAGGTACAGTTCCAAGGTGTCTCACCCGGTCACCCTAAAAACTAAGGCAATGTTGTTATTGTCAGTCTTTTGGAATCTGCTTGTCTGGTCAGTTGATTTTTACCTGCTTTTGCTAACGCATACAAAATGCTTTGACAGGTTCAAAATGGGTCATTACTCACAAAAACTAAAAGTCACAAGAAGCCAAGTGCTTCGTTAAAATGTCAAACTCTTCATTCGCTGATCCGATAGAGAATTCGAAACAGAGGTCGGATGCAAATAATTTCGAAAAAAGCTATGGGTAACCGGAACTATGAAACATTTTGCCAAGTTGTTGACAAATCCGGAATCAAATTTATTTTCTGCAATTGTCTTATATTGACTAGTTCAGAATTCCTACCAAGGAGAAACAATGCACAAAAGGAGCGCATATCAAAAGAGGGAATTATTCTAGAGGCAAACACATCTTGTTTGCCTATTTGAACAAGACAATACTGGTAAGGTTGAACAAATAGTTCTATTTTTATTCAGCCCAATTTCCATAATTAAAAGTACTTAAATTTTTATGACCAAAATGCCTGTGACTTGTATGAGATTCATTAGCAAATAACCTTAAATACTCCACGTCATGCGGTACAGTACGTAATAGGTTGAA